ACAGTGAAGGAGGGCTGGGTTTGCAGCAGACCATTAGTTCAATGTTAGATACACTGAGTTTGAGGTGTTTGAAACATTTGAATAAACAGAGTAGAAGTTTGGGCTAGAGGTGTAACTTTGAGTCAGTATAGAAATAGTAATGAAGGCACTGGAAGGGCTGAGCATCTAAGTAGAAAAGTATAGAGTAGAAGTTTCTAAACCTTAGTGTACAGGAGACTCACCTGAAGAAGCAATTGAAAACATAGATTGTAGGACCCCATCCCAGTTTCTGATTCAGTGGGCGTGATGGTCAGTTTTGTGTCAACCTGGCTAAGAGCTCAGGAGCCTCACAGGCCAGGAGTCCAAAAGTCTGACATCAAAGTGTTAGCAGCATTTGTTCCTCCTGGAGGCTGATGGAGAACCTGTTCCATGCCTCTTTCCTAGCTTCTGGTTGTTACAAGCAAGGGCATTCCTTGGCTTATGTACTACATCACTCCAATCTTCACCTCCATCTTCACATATCCTTCCCCGTGTATATTCCCGTTTCCAAATCTCTCCCTCTCACAGATACAAGTCACTAGATTTAGGGTCCACTTTGATGCAGTACGACCTCATGTCATCTTGATTACATCTGCAAACATTATTTCCAAATAAGATTACATTCACAAGTACCTCCTGTTAGAACTTCAGCTTATCTTTTTGAGAGACACAGTTCAACTCACAGCACATGGTCTTGGAGAATGGAAGACGGTGTAGGCTAAAGAACCAGAGTAAGATTGACAGGCAGTGTTGACAGCCCAGATGGGGCTGTGAATTTAGAGTAGCACCAATCTGCCTGGGTATGGGAGTGAAATAAATCGTGGCCAGGGAATCTAAGCTGGGAAAGAACAGTTGTGAGAGGAGAAATTGGAAGGGGAGTTGGACTGCAAGTCGGGTTTGAAAATGACTTGCAGCAAGCTGAGAGGCTTGGGAATGGCAGTCATTGAGTTGGTGTTTCAATTTGTTATTATGGAGGGGCCGGAGTGGCTCAGCCCAGAATATCGTGAGGCAGAATGGGTGCTTGAGATGAGATGTTTTTTTTTGTTTTAGTTCACAAGTTTATTATGAAAAGCACTGCACTGTGCTGGTGCAGTACCATTGTCTCACAGGAGGGGGAAAAGTAGTTCTGTTCAAAACAACTCACCAGGTTCTGACAATAACAAAGAACAACAGGAGGCTGAGATTTGAGAAGGGAAAAAACTGAGTGCAGACAAATCATACGATTACATTAAGTGGTATCCCTGAAAATAAGCAATGATCTCAAAATTCACAAGAAGGGAGATCTCAGTACTTGGAAGTGGAACCGGTGATGAGGACACAGAACTATGACCAAAGCTTTTGGAGATTCCCCACGATGACATCAAAGTTACTTGGGAAGTTCCTAGGATGACCAAGGGTAGAGAGAAGGTGATTCAGTGAATGAGTGTAGCCAAGAAAAGTAATGAAAACAAGCAACGGTGATTTTTGCCAATGGATGTTAGCCTCAAAACAGCAGGTTTCTGTTGTTTTGTGTTGTTTTTTCATAACAGAATCAAGGAGCAATGATCTGGTAACAACATAGGAAGCAAAGAGGACCTAAACCCATCAACTGACCCCGAGTCTTATAGGCAGGCATGAGTACATAGCAAGTACATACGAATTAAAATCTTTATCATTCTGTTTACTTGTAGAATCATCAAACAAACAAACAGATCTGAGTCAGGATGCAGATCATCTTTTTTTTAAGATTTTTTTTTTTAAATTGGGGAATTGGGGTACAGGAACAGACAAGTTGCTGTCGTTTTGTTCTTCAGTCTAGTTGTGGAAGATCTTGCTTCACTGACCCAAGTTGGCACCATCATTGCGTTCTTCCCGGGTGAGGCAGATCAGTCGCCGGCTTCTGGACGGCCGCTCACTGCGGCTGCTGGCCGCTCACGCTGGCTGCTGGCTACACACGGTAGCCCATGGCAACCCACTGCAGCAGGGGCTGCAGCCTACGCCGTTGCCGGTGACTCATGGCAGCCCAGCTCCAGGTTGAGCTGTTGTTCAGCATCTTAACTGTAGAGGGCAGTGTCACTGTCCCTCATATGTGGGATCTGAACTGGGGCCCTCTGGCATCCCAAGCCAGCTCTTAACCACTGCACCACTCGGCCGTCCCCAGATCATCTTTAATGGGAAAGAGAATCCTCCAAATGGTAGTTGCCTCAGGGAATGCAAGGCCATGCCAAGCCCACTTCTGGTGCAAGTGCAAACAATACAGCCAAAGGAAGTCACAGAACACACACGTGGCTGTCAGGGCCCACCGCTATGGTTTGGGAGCACTACTCAGACAACTGGGGAATGAGTCATAAGATGGGCAGGCTGGTGCTGACTTTAACATTTAAAAAAATTTTTTTTAATTTTTATTTTGTTTTAGCTGAGCCATCCTGCCACCTGTTGGCAGCTCAGCAGCAGCTCAACTCAGGCAGGGCATCAAACTGCTGTTGCTCAGAGCTCGCGCTCTTGAGCGAGCTCCTAACCAACTGAGCCACTCAGTCGGCCCTTGACCTTAACATTATTATTCAAAAGTTCCCCAGACACTTTGGAAGAAATAATACCAATTTTATATGATCAAACATTCCAATTTTATTCAGCAAAATTCATTTTAATATTTTTAAGTTATGGTAGAGAGTAATAGAAATGATAAAGTCTCTAGATCTGAAAAAGCTTTGCTCTGTTGATTGTCACTCTAGAATAGAACATGGAAAGGTCAAGGGTAAAAGCAACATGATCAAAGAAAAAGGAAAGAAAAATCCGTGGAGTATTTGGAGAGCAGCTTAACAAACATTTAATTATGCTGGTATGAGAAAATTCTTAAACGGAGTAGGCAAAGAACAGTTGAGGACTTCATCCTTGATCCAGAAGGAAATGGGAAACTCGTTTCAGGTAGGACACATTTATAATACCTTTAAGCTGCTTTCTAGTTTTAAACTGCATTTTCATGTTAATTTTATTATGTCACACATGATGAGAGCCAAACAGGGCATATATATTCGATGTAATAGAGACAACAACAAGGCTCAGAGACACCTACTGCCCCACTGGTGAAGTGGAGCTGGGACCGGACCTATGGTCTTTCCAGAGCTCTGCTCATCTTCCACTTCGCTATGCCTGTGTATTCTCAGGACATAATGAAAACAGTATTTTGGGGAAATCTATTCTGGAAGTGGCATACAAGGAAGATTCGAAAGGAAGGAACTGAAACAGGAGGCTGCTAAAATACAGGTTGCAAATGTCACCATACTAAGAACTGCATGTGAGGTTGGAGGACGTTGATCTAACACAGCAAAAGACAAGACAGGAATTGATCACAATTAGGGTAGAATGAAGAAGGCAAACCATTAGAGCACAACTAAAAGCCCAACTAATCAACTTGATATGAATGGTGGCACTGCAGAGGAATGATATACAGATAAGAGAGAAGGGAGCTAATAAATTTGGTTCCGGCATTCCTCAGGTATTTGAAAAAAACAGCAAAATACACAGGAGTAAGATACCTTGTAACAATTGGAAATATTTTAAATTTCATTTCAAATGTTGGGACTGGAAATTTAGACTTCAAAAAATTGACTTTAAAATAGATGGATTTTATATTAAAAATATAATGTTTTTAAAAGATAATGGGTCACAGCAGGGAAAAAAAGGTAAATAATAAAAGGCATTCCCTGATAAAATTCATTGACAAAGTTCTTAAGTTCCTGGAAGTATGAGACTTAAAAAAAAATATATTAGTTATCTTTTATGATTTTGGTTGTAAATCTTTGGATTTCTTAACCCTGCCCCAGGTGCAGATGAATTGGGTTAGTTCACTCGAGTAGAAAACGGAATTGCTGCATTTCTGAAGTAACAGGCACACTTGCAGCGAGTCATATTGGTTAGCTATTGCTGTGTAAAAACTGACTCAAAACTTGGTGGCTCGTGTTGCTCATGCTTTTGGAGAAAATTAGGCTAAGTCAGTTTGGTGGTACTGATCCTGGCTGGGCTCTCATGGTCAGCTGCAGGTTGGTTAGGTGGTTCTGCTTCTGCGGGGCTTAACTGGATATTGGCTAGGGATGGGGGGCCTCAACTCTCCTTGTGTTTGATCCTCTAACAGGCTAGGTTGGACTTGTTTTAATAAGAATGGCAGGAGTTCAAGAGAGAAAGTAGAGATGCTCAAGGTGTCTTGAGGTCAAGGCTCAGAACTCGGCACTTCATTTCTGCTGCACCATATTTGCTAAAACAAATCACAGGGCCAGACCAGAGTCAAGAGGTGGGGAACGGAGTTCACCTCTTGATAGGAAGAGTTGTGAAGCTGTTCTACAAAAGACGGGGATACAGGGAGGAATGAGGAATAATGGACAGTTTTGCAGTCAATCCTACCACATGCCCATTCTGGTGATAATTCTGATTATACCAACTTGGTAGCCTACCTGGTTTAGCATCTGTCCTAGACAAAAATAATTGGGGCTATCTTCATGCTTACTTCTAGGAAACGGAAATCTACCAATATTAAATCCGATACATTTAAGTAGCATTTTACAATTTACATACCACCTTATTAAAAAAAAATGATGAAGCGTAGGCAGAGCAGGTATTATTAAGCCCATTTTATGAATGAGGAAATCAAATCACAGGGCCAGTTAAATGACTTTCATCAGTAGTAAGTGGCAAAGCTACAATATTTAGAACGACATCTACAAACTTTCACTACTTCTGTTCCTTAGAGCTCTTATACCAAAACCTTGGGTTAGGATTAGTATGTCATTTTTCAGGTTCTTAATTAAATTAACGAGGCATTGTTTCCTTTCTTATAAAAGTAGGCATAACATGACTTACCTCAAGGGTTGTTCTGAGGAGCAAATAAAATGTATAAAAAGCACATAGTACAATGCCTACCCCATTCACCATCATAAGGCTCTCTTCCAGGCTTGATAATTTCAACCCTCAGAGTCAGAGCATCACTTGCAATGATAAACTTTCAGATAGTTAGTATAGGCAAATTTTATTTCTAGGGTAGAAGCATTTATTTCAGTTATAGAAAAATAACACTATTTTAAAATCAAGGTAACTAAGCAGAAGTATATTTTTTCCTTGTATATCTATACTCAAATATCACACATGGTTTCAAGACATTCTTAAATTAATAAGGAACACACACAGAATCAAGGTAGTATCTGTCAACAGAAGAGATGTATTAAAGCTACATATTAGCCCTGGAAAACAGAAAATACAAAGTGATCCCGTGCACCGATTTTCAACTTTAGTGTGCATTAGAATTACCTGGATTGTGGAAAAAGCACCTTCAGGGGAACTGAAGGCAAATCACCAGGTTAAGCAAGTCCTTGGTCTCAGAATAAAGGCCGAAGGGACTGAAGGTACAAGCTTTGTTCCTCATGTAGGGGCAAAGACAAAATATACCACCATATATAAGATCAGCCATTTATTCACTATGTGGCTTCTCTGAGCCTTAGATTCAGGCATATTAGATACTACTCTCAAGAATTGTTCTACAGATTAGACCAGATTGTGTGTGATAAGAGCCTCCCTAATTCATAATACACAGCTACTATCATTATTTCTTCTTCTTCATCATCATCACCATCATCATCATCTGATTCAGAGGACATTCTTCTCCCCCCCGCCTCCACCCTCACTCCCAAATAGCTGCTATTATTTATTTTAAACATTTATTTTAAAAATCAAATAACACTCACTAGGTTCAAGCTCATGGACTACTGGTACCCTTTTTATACTGGTATCATTTTTACTAGCTTCATCCATTCACTTACATTAAGATTTCGGTACATGGCTGACATGACAATTTTTGTACCTAAACTAAGAAAACGGATTCAAAGAAGAAAGGGACCTAAAGCTTAAAAATAGCTAGATGGATGAACTGCGTGTCAAAGTGACCTATTTGAGACAATCTCTGATCTTCCCTGTATTGTTTATTTACTCAGTTCTAAATCTCCGTTTATAGATGGAAACATGGGAATACCTATAATCTTCATCATTTCCTAATATTCTATATGCTATACAGTAACGTTTCAGTTGGCCATTTAAGTAAACTACCCACATAAACATCTGAGGTTTTACTATTCTGAAAGTATAAAACAAAGCTATAGAGGTGCAGTCAGGCTAGGATAGGGTTTCTCACCCTCAACAATATTGACATACTGGGTTGGCTAATTCTTTTTTGCTGGGGAGGGGGGTATCACTTGCATTGCAGGATGTAGGCATCCCTGGCTTTTACCCCCTATATGCCAGTAGCAACCTGCTTCACTTCCTAGTTTTGACAACCAAAAATATCTCCAAACATTGCCAAATGTCTTCTGGAGGCAAAAATCACCCAGTTGAGAACTACTGAGCTAGAATTTTATATAGACATAGCTGTAAACTGAGTGCACAGATTACACAAGCTCTAGGTAATTTTACAAATTTAAGGAGTAGAGCACAATAGTTTCTGCTATACTGTTTATGCTAGGGCACATAGTATTTATGTAACATACTACTTAAGCATACAGTTAACCCCGTATAACTACTTTTTCCTATTGAAAACACTGACATTAAACAGGGGGGAAAAAACATAGCTAATCCTGCAACCATTTTTATATTACCTGATAGAGAAAAACCTAGGGTTTACAAACATTTGCTAAATGCAGACCTAGATAAATCACTGCAAATGTCCTTCCTTCTGAATTCGAAGTCTCTCTTTCTCTACTTGTAAGCGTTCCTTTTCAATCTGCAGCTTCTCCGATTCAAATTTCAAAAACTGCAGCCTATCTTTTTCCAGTTGCAAGCGTTCTCTCTCAAGTTTTAACTTCTCTGCTTCTATGTCCTGTGGTTGAAGCATGGACTTTTCTCCTTGACCGAGTTCATTTTCCAAAGACGGTTTCTCCGAGTTGACTAGCTGCAACCTCAACTTCTCTCTCTCAATCTGCAGCCGCTCCTTTTCCAGCTGAAGCCGCTCATGTTCCATGTCTAAATGCCGCAGCCTCTCTTTCTCAATCTGCAGGCGTTCCTTTTCTACCTGTAGTCTTTCAGCCTCGATGTCCAGACGTCGTTTTTCCAACTCTAGTTTCTGTTTCTCTATGTTTACAAGCAAATGGGGTTCATCGTATGCAGACTTAGAAGGTGTTGAGTTTAGAGTAAAAAACTCATCAATGTGGGGGAAATCAGGAAGTTCATTTTCCCTCCGGGAATCTGGTATGACTGATGAGAGTATTTCTTCTTCCTCCTCAATCTCAAACTCAAAAAAAAGAGAGAAGCAATTTTCAGTATTATTTCTATTTCATGGTTAATTTTTTTTTTTTTTT